AGTATCTACTATAAAGGTACATGGCACCTTTGGGTTTATGAACCCTGCAAAGCCCCTGTTACCTTATAACCTCTCTGTCAAAGCTCACTTACAACCCTGAACCCTTCAAAGTCGCCAGCCCATAGCAAAAAATGAAAACTCAGGGACCAAAAACCCTAAACCCTAAACCCTAAACCCTAAACTTAGGCCCGAAACTGTGCAGGCAGCCAGAGATAGGGAGACTGGCGGCCAGGAGTTTAACAATCCGGCCGTGCGAAGAAGGCTGGCTTAGGGTTTAGGGGGCTCGGGGATGGCGCAGAGCGGGTTGAGGGTTTTGTTCAGGCGTAAGGGTTTTTAGGGTTTGGGGTTTAGAGGGTTTTAGGTTTTTGGGTTCTTTGCAGGGGTCTATAAGGGTTACCTAACTGTTCTAGGATAGGGTTTTAGGACTCCAGTTTTCGGGACTGGGTTTTTTTTGTAAATACTTAATTTTTAAGGCTTTGTTGAAAGTGGTTCAGGGTTCTTGTTTAGGCTTGTGTAGACGACTGCTTAAGGTTTCTATGCTGTGGTATTTAGGGATCAGGGTTTGCAGTTTGAGGATATCAGTGGAGTTCAGACCTCAGCATGCTGGAACTACGAGTCCTTCGAATTGCGTCCTTGCTTGCGGTTAGAATTTAGGGCTTAGGGATTAGGGGTTTAGACTCTAGGGTTTAGTGCCTTTACACCTTGCATGAACTACTTGAAGTTGCCTGGCTCTGCAAGGAAATTTCTTGCTGCTTGCCACGGCATGTTGATCGGATTTGCACCATGCTCTGAGTGATGAAGATGGTCGGCCGCAAAAAACTGCGACCCCACTACACAGCGTACGTTGAAAGTAGTTAAAGGATCATTGGACTTAGTAAGTAAGGTTATAAGTCCCCTAATCGGGGTTATAAGTATAGTTACCTTAGTTATAACCCTACTTACTAAGTCCCATGATCCTTTAAGTAGAGCCAACATAGCAAGGTCTTCAACAGTCATGGCAAACAAGTGCTTGGCCGACTCTCAACTCGAAGCTAACTCCTACGCTTACGGTTTCAATACGTGGGTCTCGTTATCCTGAAGCATCTGCATACTGCGAGTACAGTGGGCCGACTAATGGCCTGGAGTAGCCTGCATACTTCTGAAGGCCTCTTTCTAGATGAACCGCTTTTTCCTCCATCACTGCACTTAACCGCGGTTATAAGGCGCCCCTGATACCAAGCTCTATTGCGATCTACAGTGCTTTGTAGCCTTGGGTTCTGACGCCTCCAAGCCCCGCTCCCACCCCCAGGCTTTGTGCTGCTGCCGGCCTGCTGTTGACCACTCGAGTCCGTCAGCGCCGGGTTCTGGCAGCAGAACAGGCCGAGCACACCTCACAGCGAGCCCAGAGTGTGTAGTGTGTATGTGGGTAGTTGTCAAAATTATGGTCCCTTTTGGGTATAATAATAAGGACCCAAAAAGGGACCCTAATTTTGACAACCACCGATGTACATCTGTTGCCTGGCTGCCTGGCTGCCTGGCTTGGCTCCTTGCATGCATGTATGCATGGATGTATGCATACATGTATACCTGCATGCATGTATGCAGGCCTGCATGTGTGTATGTACGTCTGTCTGTCTGTCTGTCTGTCTGTCTGTCTGTCTGTCTGTATGTCTGTCTGTCTGTATGTATGTATGTAAGTTTGTCTGTATGTGTGTTTGTATGTGTGTATGTATGTGTGATTATGTGTGTATGTATGTATGTATGTATGTATGTATGTATGTATGTATGTATATGTGTATGTATGCAAGTATGCATGGATGGATGGGGTAGATGGAGGAATGGATGCAAGTGTATGCATCTGATTATGTGCATGTATGTGCAAACATCGGCTACGCTTGTATGTGTGCTCTGTATACAGGTCTAGGTATAAAACACCATTATATTATATTTGTATGTATAGGTATATGTATGGCTGATTTTGCTTTTGGTGGTTCACAGATACACAAGCAAAAGGGAGCATGCATTGCCTGAATGAAGACAGACTTATATTATATGTTTGTCATAAGCCGGCGTAGTGGGTTTAGGAAATAACTATATACAAATGGGAGTTTCCAAAAATAAGGGCTACCGTATTTTGGGGTCCTTATGATAAGGATCCTACTATATAGGATACTATATATATTAGGGTCCTCTATTTCCGGAAACCCCCAAAGAGCTTCGCAAAAGCCGGGTAAGGCGGTTTCATCGAGCCTGGTTTGAGGTTCACGTCTGTCGCTAGACAAGAAAAAGGATAAAGTTGCCATGAACAGCAGAGAAGGGGTGTGTACATGTACGTGTATGTATATATGCATCAGTTGACTAGAGAGGTATAGAGAAAGCGGGGTGTGTGTGTGCACGAATGTATTCATGGTATGCACATATACATACATACACACAGACAGACAGACCGCTAGACAGACTGACAGACAGACAGATGTACAGACATACAGGCAGACACACATACATCCATAAAGCACATACAGTCATACAGATTACAGAAGTGCATACACATGATCTTGTCTGTGCAAATCGTGTCCCATGGGTTTTCCAGAGTCATATGTTCATTTGCCGAGGTGCATATTTCTGGACTTGCTCATATAAGAACAGACGAGAAGCGTATGAGTCTAACACGTGATGTTTCCAGAATCAACCGAAAGACAGGATCCTTCTGTATGTGTGCGTGTCTTTTTGGGGGACCCGCCCCTAAACCCTAAACCCTAAGCCCTAACCCCCAAACCCCTAAACCCCAAACCCTAAACCCCTAAACCCTAAACCCTAAACCCTAAACCCTAAACCCCAAACCCCTGAACCCCTGAACCCCTAAACCCTAAACCCGCTTCAACCAGGCAGATGAGAAGGATCTTTCCCAAAGGCTCTCTCCCGAGGCGGGGAGTGCAGCTGTTTTGCTGCTTGTTGTTTTAGGGTTTTAGGGTTTTGGGATTTAAGGTATAGGGTTTTTTTGGGGTCTGCTTTAGGGTTAGGGTTTTGCGATTTAAGGTTTAGGGTTTTTTTGGGGTCTGCTTTAGGGTTAGGGTTTGGGGATTTAAGGTTTAGGGTTTTTTTGGGGTCTGCTTTGGGGTTAGGGTTTGGGGGATAAGGGATTTTAAGGTTTAGGGCTGAAGCTCTGTTCTTTTAGGGTCAGGGTTTTGGGAATTTGGGAGTTTATAAGGTTTAGGGTTGAGGGTCTGTTGTTTTAAGGTCAGGGCTTTGGGAATTTAGGGAGTTTAAGGTTTAGGGTTGAGGGTCTGGTGTTTTAAGGTTGGGGTTTAGGGAATTAGGGAGTTTAAGGTTTAGGGTTGAAGCTCTGTTCTTTTAGGGTCAGGGCTTTGGAATTAGGGGAGTTTAAGGTTTAGGGTTGAGGGTCTGTTGTTTTTAAGGTTGGGGTTTAGGGATTAGGGAGTTTAAGGTTTAGGGTTGAGGGTCTGGTGTTTTAAGGTTGGGGTTTAGGGATTAGGGAGTTTAAGGTTTAGGGTTGAGGGTCTGGTGTTTTTAAGGTTGGGGTTTAGGGATTAGGGATATTAAGGTGTAGGGTTGAGGGTCTGTTGTTTTAAGGTTGGGGTTTAGGGATTAGGGATATTAAGGTGTAGGGTTGAGGGTCTATTTCAGGGTTAGGGTTCAAGGATACGGGATGTTACAGGTTTAGGGTTTAGGGTCTGTTAGGGTTTAGGGATTAGGGATGTTTCAGGTCTTTGGCTTATCGTCTTACGTATTGTTTTAACAAAAGCGCGTTAACAAATACAGAATAGAGCGCTGGTGTATACCATAGCATAGCAAAATATTGCCTCTACTGGCTATTCCCACTTCACTTCTTCAACCCTAAGCCCTAAACCCGAAGCCCTACCCGCATTCCGAAGACTGTTCGAGGCAGCTTTGCGAAACCCGCGGTTGCTATGGGGCGACGAGGAAGTTGCTGCTTACCCAGGGTGCCTGGGAAAGGTTTACGGGTTAGGGTGTTGCATCCCCGAAGGGTCCGACGTACCCTAAACCCGAAACCCATGGGGATTACGTAATTCTTACTATAGAAACCCCACCTTCTACGACATAGGTACCTAGACCCCCCAACTACCCTCTAATATACCCCAAATAAGGGCTCTATTAAAGGGCCATTGGGGGTCCTGGTACATAGGACCCTTTAGGATTTGTTTGTTTGGTTTCAGGATTTCCTGCGTGAGGGTCAGGAGTGGATGTGTGTTTTGGGGTTTCAGTCTTCAGGTTTCAGTAAAGGGCACGGTTTAGGGGTTTAGGGTTTAGGGTGTAGGGTTTAGGGTTTAGGGTTTAGGGTTTAGGGGGGTTCAATGAGGCCCTCCTCCGCATGCAGGCGTAACAGTGCCCGACCGGGCCATTTGTTGCTTGCTGCCGCCTTTTCCTTTCTTTGTGATTTCCGGGTTTAGGTTTCGGCGCTGCTTCTTGAAAGGAAACCCAAAACCCTGAACCCTAAACCCTAAACCCTGAACCAAGAACCCTAAACCCTAAAACCTAAACCCTAAACCGTTATAGCTTCCTGAACCCTGAACCCCTGCACCATAGAGTTCCTACAGCCCAAGTCCCCGAGCCCCTATAGACCCCCAAAGTCCATGGGTGAGTCAATGTTACCTCCCGAAAGCCAAACCGTAAACCCCAGGTGATACACCTCAAATGGGCTTGTAGCTTTGGTTTCCAACAGAGCTTTTTCGCGTTGTTTTCGGTGTTCTGGGGTTTCGGGGCTTTCGCATTCTGAGATCGAGGGTTCCCGAAACCCAACGACACACGAGCAACTCCTAAACCATAATCCCCAGCGGTTCGTTCTAGTACCCCATAATTATACTAGAGCCTTGCAGGTTCCCCATAGTTATACTAGAACCCTGACAGGTTCCGAACCTTGGTAGAGCCCGCCGAACCTTCACCCAACATAAAACCCTTGAGGTGGCTCTTCGGGGAGTGGGGGATTTCCTCCCTAAGCCCTAAATCCTAAACCCTAATTAAACCTTTCCTGAAACCCTGAGGTGGCTCTTCGGGGAGTGGGAGATTTCCTCCCGGCCGGTGGCTTTCTGCGAGCCCTTGGGGCCCCGCTTTCTGGACGACGCGACGCGTGCCGGGATCCGAGAGGCCAGCCCTAGCGCTCGAAATGAGGTCTTCATGACGGACTTATCAAGGTTGGGTTTAGGGTTTAGGGGTTGTTGACGGTTTGTGAGGTGTCTTAGGTCAAAAATGAGGGTTTCGCGAGGGTTTTGGAGGGTTTATTGGTTTTGACATGAGGGCCCCATGATGGTTGTAGAGGGTATTGTGACGTTTCTTGGATTGTTCAACAAGGGTTCAGTGAGTTCTGTTTGGTTTCCTGGTTTTAGCATGAGGGCTCCATCAGGGGCGTACAAGCGCATCATGGTGTTCTGGGTTTCTCAATGAGTGCTCCATGAGAGTTGTGTAGGGTTCTACGGGGTGTCTGATGTCTGGGTTCCATGAGGGTTGTTTAGGGTTTAAATCAGTTCTGAATATGTGTTGGTTTGTTTGTTTTTGCGGAATACTTTCGCGAAAGCTGGAAGATCCGATCTCTTCGGGCTCTATATATATATATATAGGCCTCTTCAGGGATACTGGCAAGAGTGCTGTATGTTTCCGGTGTGCTTATGGAGATGCTCATTCCTTAAACCCGAAACCCTCAGAACGAGAAAACCCTATCCCGACGCTAACATCGCAACTTTATCTGTCTGGTGCTTAGTAGGGAATGGGGGAATGGATCCCTATGATAGTTATAGTGGTCCCTATAACCCATTCCCCCATTCCCTACTAAGCACCAGACAGTTATCCCTAAACCCTAAACCCTATACCCTAAACCCTAAACCCTAAACCCAAATCCCTAAGCCCTCGAACTCCGCCCTAAAGCCTCGGGTCTTGAAGGCCTTAAACCCTAAAGCCCTAAACCCTAAAACCCTAAAACCCTAAACCCTAAACGCTAAAACCCTAAACCCTGAACCCCTAAACCCGAAAATCCTAAAATCCTACGGCCCTAAACCACTTGGCTCTCTTGGCAGGATTTCGAAGGAACTGAACCCGCCAAGCCCCTGAAATGGCGACCTGGCTGGACGGGCAAAATCTTGTGTTCGAGGGTTTAGGGTTTAGTAACCCCTTCAGGGTTTAGGGTTTGGAGTTTAGGGTTTAGGGTTTAGTAATCCCTTTAGGGTTTGGGGTTTGGGTTTATAATAGGGCTTAGTAGTAGAGTAAGTAACCTTTATAACTTTTTTGGGGTACTACAATTCCTATATGAACCCCAAACGTTAACGATAAGCTCCCCATGATACTTGACAAGTAGGTTAGGGTTGAGGAATCCTGTTGCATGCGTGCCACAGCGACCATTCCTTTTACGAGGAACACTATGGTTTGTTTTGCCAGCGCTAAACCACGCCTCTGTGAAAGCGCTGCTACTCCGACTCCCATCCCACTCCCACTGCCATTCCCGCTCCTACTCCTCCCATTGCTGCTACTGCTCTGCTGCTACTGCTACGACGACTACTATAATTATTACTACTGCTGCTGCTGCTGGCACTGCCGCTGCCGCCCCCGCTACCGCTACCGCTATTGCTACTGCTGCAGCTGCTGCAACTGCTGCTGCTGCTGCTGCTGCTGCTGCTGCTGCTGCTGCTACTACTACTACTGCTATTATTAGTATTGCTATTGCTGTGCTGCTACTGCTACTGCTACTGCTACTGCTACGACTACGACTACGACGACGACGACGACTACTACTACTACTACTGCTGCTACTATGCTGCTGCTTCTGCTGCTATTACTACTACGGCTACGGCGCTACTCCTACTCCTCCTAGTCCTAACCTACTCC